ATTTATAGTTATTTATATTTATAAAACTTTTATTATATTATATTTATAAAACTTTACGATTATATTTATATTTATGATTATTTATAGTTATTTATATTTATATTTATATATCATATAAATATATTTATTATATTTATATAATAAATGATTTATTGAAAGAAACAAATTTGAATTTATTTTTTCCATTAAAATTAAGAAACTAAATATTTTTATTTTAACTTGAATAAAAATAGAAAATAACAATCTGCATCAATTAGTATATTAAAAAATACATAATTTCAATTTAAAACACAAACTAACTTGACTTTTATATGTCCCTTATAAATTAATTTACAAAAATATTATTATAAAAATATTAAATAACATTAGAATCTTATACATCTTATATAATGAAACATTTTTTTATACATCAAATAATTTATGAATTATTATATTATTAATTTATATTATGAATTATATATTCATCTTATGTAATTCATTTTGTATAATATACATTATATAATGTATATAATAAATAATATAATATTTATAATATTATATATGTATTATTGCCATAAAAATTTTCTATAACAAACATTCTAATTCAAAACAAAAGAATACAATAATGTAATAAAAAAGAGAAATATAATGTTTACTAGCTGAAAATTGAAGTTTCATAATCATATGTTTCACATCAACCTACTCATTTCTTACACCTTAATTGCATTCTTGCATCGTGCACTTTCTTTATCCTTTGAATATACAATGTTACCCACCTTGTTATATTAAAATGAAAGCAACATTTGCATAATAACTCTTTCAACGATGTGCAATTTGCATACAGAATTTTTTTCCTCTCTCTTTTATAGATGTATTTACAATTAAGGATAACTTGGAAGGGTAGCAAATTGTTGAAACACTTCCTGCAACTCGTGTGCCTACTTATGGCCTGGTTCACTGCATTGTCGCGAGTTTCCGATTATAAACATCATTGGAGCGATGTTCTTGCCGGCTCGACCCTTGGCACTATCACAGCGCTGGTCGTGGTGAGCATTATTCCCCTTAACTATCCTATTGTGTGATCATAAATTACACGCGATCGTGAATATGAAATATGCGATATATCGAGTTGCTCCAACTTTTATGACCTCCATTGGTTTGGAAGAAATAATAATAATAATCGGAAATATTAATAATGTGTATACATAATGTACATACATAATGTGTATACATAATGTGTATAAATATCTATGCGATAGAATATAATTTTTCTATAGTCTATTTATTAAAAGAAAAATTTATTGATTATTGATTCTATATTATTGATATTTATTGATTCTATATTATATATCTATTTAATAACAAGTTGAAAGTTTTTTTTTTTTTTGATTTTCGAAGGTTTTTTTTTAATTTATTTAAAGTTGAGATTTGTAAAGAGTTAATTAAATATTTCTAAAAATTAATGAAATAGTAATTAAAATATGATACGACTTATTATTTATTTATTTATTTCTAAATTTTCTTAAGAACTTATTTTAGTTTTTTATACAGCAATGAAATTTTATTTATTTTATTATCATTATTTTTTTTTTTTTTGATGAATCATTTATGAGATTTTATTATATTGACATATTATACATAGAGAGTCGATTCTAGATATCAAAACAATACAAAAATCGATATACAAAAATGTCGAATAAAGATTATTTATTAAGTTATGAACAATTTAATTTAATATTAGAAAAATTTACATTAGATAAAGCGAGATATAATGATACAATAATACAGAGCGAGACAATTGCTTACAAATAAATAAGCAACATTTTATATATATACTTTTGTACTTATTTGACCTTTATTTTAGAATCGAGCTCAAAAATATATTAATTTCACGAATATATTATCACTGTTATACATGAATAATTAATATTAACATAATATAATGAAATTATATATTAATATTTTCTTAAATACGTAATCATGTTTTTGAGGAAATACAAGTCAACATCTCATTCTATCTTCGTTTTACTTTTTTCAAAGCGAATTTAAATTATTATTATTATATAAATTATTATTTATAATAAATAAGTTTAAGTAATATTTATAATGTATAATTATATAAATTTTTATAATTTTTATTTTGGTCTTCAGAATTTATTTTGTATAGCTGAATTTAAATGAATATATTAATATACTATATAATGTAATTATATACATATATACATATAAATAAATAAATTATTTCGTGGAATATTATTTTTAGAAATGATTTCTATATTTTGAAAAAGTTATTACAATGATTTATATTTATAAGTAAATAAGATTTATCTTAAAACATAATTATCTTAATTTATGTTAAAATATATTATAATAATTTAACTATTTCATGTCTTTTAATTAATTTTTAAAAAATTAATTGATTGATTTCATAAATTAAATTTTTATATAGAACAGAAATTTATATTTATTTAAAATAATAATATATTTCAAAATATATAAATATTTCTAATTTATTATTTATTTAGAAAAAAATATATTTAAGAAATCATCGAATATAATAATATTATAATAAATATTAATTATATCTATATAATTATATAATAAATATTTATATAATTATATTATATTAATTATATAATAAATATTAATTATATTACTTACTATTTATAATACCAATATATACATTTTCAATATAATAATAATTTTTTACTGTTATATTGATCAATATTTTATAATTGCATTAGAGATAAATATTAAATTATATAAAAAATATAAATATTAAATGATAAAAATAAAAATATTATATTTTTGTTTACTTCTATAATTTAATAATTCTATAATTTAATAATTTTCTAAGAAAATTAAATTTCTTGTTTTCCTTTCATCATAATATAATTCATAATTTATCTTTACTTATTTAAACTCTATCTAAATTTCATTTATTCTAATAAAATTGTATCCTATTAAATCAATTTCTTTTAACTGAATAAGAAATAATGCTTAGTGATGAAAAACAGGTGAACTTCTATTATTTGAATTGCATTATACAAATTCTTCTTTAGTGTTCCGATAAATGGAGTTCTACTGTAGTATATCTTCGATGCAAAATGAATGTTGGTATTCGGGTTGAGTTATTTATGTTCAAATTAAAACTCGATGGAAATGATTAAAAGCCATTAATTTGCAGATAAGCATAGTGACTATAATAGTGATTGGTATATATTGTAGGATTTGTTTTGTGATGTGGTCGACGAATGATAACTCGCTTTAGGCGATGCAGCGAAGTAAATTTAAATAAGGTTGTTAAATGCAGAAATGGAATATTATCTAATAATGATCTTTGTAATAAATTAATTATTATTGATTAAATAATTAATTTTTAATTTTTTATTTATCTTTTTTTTTTATTTTTTGTATTTTCTTATGATCCATTATATATTTTCTATTATAAATGAAAAGTATGTTTTTGTATTGATTTTTATCGAATTTTTATTATCGTATCATGTTATTTCATTTTTATTTCATTTAATGCAACTGATGTATTTATGTTGAATGATTTTTAGATCCAATTATATTATTTATTCACATATTCGTAACATTATTTACATTTACGTAATTATATTCGTAATGGATAATTTTTTTATTAAAAATGATGAAAATAAATGATTTTGATTAACTTAATTATAAATTATGACTTAATTATAAATTATTTTTTATTTAAACATATCTGGAAAGTTTTCATTAATTTCAATATTACAAAATTATATATAAATATATTTAACAAACAATTTAAAATATTCATTTTATAAAGAAATATCAAAATTCAATAAAACTTAGACTATAGAAGAATAAGAATAAAAGAAAAACATTCAGTAAAACTTAGATTAGATAATAGAATAAAAATATAATTTTTCTTATATTATCTCATTGATTATTAAGTTTATTTAAAAATTAGTATTAATATGTAACGATTAAATGTGAATCACGCAAGAATTTTTATTAAACAATATAAATTCTATAGATTTTTTATCGATAAAAATTTTAAACATAAATTTTAAACGCAAATAAAGAAATAAAACGTTAATTAAAATTATTTGTATTTTTTATTTATCATCACTAGATATCTAATCACAGTGAATTTGTTTTTCTTTCTCAATAATTCTCAATATTTATTTTAAAAATTTATTTTTATAGTTTATAAAAATATTTTCATTGAACAATTTAATTGCATTGTTAATTATGATACATTTAATTCAATGAAAATAATAAGAAAATAATAATTATTTACTTATTATTAAATAACAATTAGAATTTATATTCCATTGAATTAGATTGTAAAAAAAATTAAATATTATAATTTTTATGTATGTAAAAATTTGAATTTAACCTCCATCTTTATAAAAAAAATCATGTTTTTTCTTTTTTATAATTATACAGTTTTATTATATTATTATTACTTATTATTGAAATGAACAAAGTTCGTAAGGAAATTTAAGAATTTTATTAGAATTATTCCAAAAGATGAGTTTTAAAGAGAAATTGTTTGATTTTCTAATATTAAAATAAAAATATAAAATTTTAATATTTTTACTTGTAAAATTAATATTGAATTATAATTTCAATATGAAAAAAATAAAATGAAATAAGATTACATATATTTATATAATATAAATGTTATATTTTTATTATAATACTTTGATGAGAATAAAATATATTTAAAAGATCGATTATAGAAGTCAAAAAATAAAAAAAAATAGAAAAATTTATAAATTAAAAAATATCAATAAAGATTTATTTATTAAATTTTAAACAATTGAAGCAATTTGTGTTGAATGAAGACGAAAATAGAATGAAATAGTTCTATCTCTGTCATTGTTTTGGTTTGTCTCGCTTCATTTAATGCAAATAAATTATTTATAAATGAATAATAAATAAGCTTTATTCAAAATTTTTGTATATTAATTTTTATGTTTGTTTTGATGTTTAGAATTGATTCTTTAAAAAAAAAAAAAATGTATTAATACTCTGTACATGTATTTAGATAAATATATATACTTTGTAATTGATAATTACATGTATTTATATAATATGAACATGATTATTTTAATATTTAACAAACTTCGAGATCTTACGAGAATTAAAAGAAACACTTGTTAAAAAAAAATTTAAGAATAATATTATAATGATTTTTAAATTTATAATTTCAAATTGATCAAATCATGTAATTTAGAATTTCTTCCATTTACTTGTTTAAAATTTCATTTATTTTATTATTAGAATTTATATTATTGTACAAGAAAATATATTAGTTTATTATTTTCTTCGTTGTAAAATTAATTATGCGAAAATCCTCGATTAAAAAAACTTTAAGGACATTCCATTGCATATTAGAGTGAAACGAAACGTAGGAACAAAATTTATTTCCATTATTTTTATAAATTTTTGTTCAGTAATTTATGTTTATTATTTAATATTTCTTATTTAATAGATTATATGAAAATAATTTTGATAAAATTTGAATTAAATTTGGAATACATCATAAAATAAATAATATTGATAACATGACAAAATTAAGAATTTTAAAAAGTTAAAAGATATTAAGATTTAAAAAATTAAAAATCTTTAAAGACTTGAACATTTCAAAAATTAATTTTACGGAAACTATTTCTCGCAGATTTACGAAAGAGATTAATATTAAAGAAATATTTTCTTGCTAAGAATTGCCAGAAAATCACAATCATTATATTTTAACTTTTTCGTTTTACTCTCAATGCACACATATCGTTTTTGAACCAATATACGCCTAATTATCAGATACATTTCGATATGTTTTTCACAGGTAAACTTCGTTGCAGATCTGTTCAAGGATCAGAATCACTACTCAGTGGAAGAGAAACATCGAACGACAGATTACGAAACAGGGACCGGTACACAGGTGAATAATGGCACTACTAATCGCAACTGTTGATCTAACGAGCTAGTTCTTCGCTTGCTGACCACAACAAGGCCATGACTGTCTTATAGTTGTCTCTGGGAAGTTAATTCTGGTCTCGGGGAACAAAAACATACGCTGCTGATGGGCGCCTCAAGTGAAGGAAAATTGAAAAATGTATATGGTATTCCCAAAAGCTGGTGTGTCACAAAAAATTTTCTCATTCGACATCGAAACTGCCTTATGTGCTGTTTTGGGGGACCGTTCATCGCCTTCTCGACGACACTTCTAGACGTTATCATCCACCATTTCTTCATCATCATGCAGTGTTGATCATAGAGATTCTTGTAAAAAAAATGGAAAAAAAGGGAAAAGAGAAATAGAAGGAAAAAGAAGAAAAAAAGAAAAAAAAAAGTAATTTTTCAAAATGAAACATGATTTATTAAACGAATTTTTCATCCTTTTTTGTATTACATATGCCGCTTCGCTATGAAGCTTTCTCTTTTCAGCATTCTCTATGTTCGAATTTTTGTATTTTTATCGTAACTCTTCTTTCTTTTTTCTTTCTTTTTTTCTTTCTTTCTTTCTTTCTTTCTTTCTTTCTTTTTCTGTTCTTATGGTGGAAGGATATCTTATATCTAAAGCGAAGAGCGAATATTTTATATAGATTATTTGTATCGTTATCTTAGCTTTGTTCGAAGGACTTTCGTGTTAACGATACGTCCTCGTTTTCTCTTATTTCGTCCAAATTGTTCGTTCGTGTAAGATCTCTAATAGATTCGACGATCTTGTTATTTTTATGTCTATTTTAGAATTCGGGAGAAGATAATATTCCTCCCACTTCTTTTAACGGATTTTATGATAAAATAGTCAATCAAAGTTTAAGTATTGGCGCAAAGACGGAAAGAAATTTTAACATTAGAACTTCAAAAATTTTATTCTTGATTATTTCAAGTTTCATTCAATAATTTTCTTCATTTGATTTAACTATTTTTTTTATTTATACTCAATTGATTTTTAACGATGCATTCTAATGGCACAATTATTTTATATTATTAATCAATTGACTAATCAATTGACTTTTTAATTGACACGTTCAATGTGATATACAAATATAAAGAAGGAAAATGATTTATATTAATAATTTTTCAAAAGTTGAATAATTTTATATTTTTTATAAGATCACTGTATGTAATATTTTTTTTCAAATTTTATCGATTAATTTTTTCTTTTAAGCATAAAATAAGATTTTACAAAAAGGCGAAGTTGAAATTAAAAAGTTTACTAGAATTTGTTGAAAAAAAGTTTGTAGAATTATCAATAATTAAAATGGAAAAATAATGAAAAATAAACAAGAAGATCAAGAAGAAAATGACTTTATCCGGGATTCTAGAGTTAATGAAAATATTATGTTACACGTGAGAATTTGTACAGGCCGAAACTTGTTCATAGTTTCAGCGAAGATATATTTATTTCTTGTTGAATGTTATTTATTTATATAGGGGAAAACGGATTGTGAAAAAAAAGAGCGAACATATATATTTCTTTCTCTTTATATAGAGAGTATTACACGTTCGCATTAAAGATATGCTATATTTTCTAATTAGACTTAAAAAAGAAGAAAAAAAGTAAATGTGGTATATATTGATTTTTATATTCTTGTATTATATTTTAATAGATTAATCTTGTTGGTATTTGGTGCTCTTGAATCTACTTACGCTAAACATTGTTTAACATTAAAAATTATAATGATAAAAAGCAAAACGCGATAATTATTTCTTCCTATTTTTCTCTTTCTTGCTTAATTACTATCGAATTTCAAAAATAACAAAATTTTCAGTATTGATAATTTTTATATTATATGTATATTATTAACATATTTGTTATTAAAAATGAATAATTAATATCATTCGTTGCTTGCTGGAAAAGTATAGTACATATTCTTATATCTTCGAGTTGTAATCGACTTGGAAAAAAAGTGGTGCAAATGAGAAAATCTCTTTATATGTAAAATTAAATTAAATTAATTTTATCGGTATTTGACATGATTATAAAAATGTTTGCAAACAAAGAAAAAAAACTTTTTAACAATGTATGAATTTTATTTAATTTAACATTATCACGAAAAATTCGATTTAATGTTTAATCCTTGAACAATGGACAGATTAAATTACATATTGTGTCAATTCAATCAACATCAAATCAATTAGCAGAATAATATTATCATTTTTGTTTCAAAAGAAAATCTTAA